AGAAATCATTAACTGCATCCTATTAAAATCCTTAAACAAGAGACCTGAACGCATCTCATTGATTGAAATATCTTCTCCGTTTCTAACTCAGTGCTTATCCTCCGCTCTCTCGGGGCACCTCTGAGCAGGAGGTGCCCGAAGGTGCGGGACGCTCTGCAGTTCTCTATCAGTGACCGATACCATGCCATCCACTAATCGTATCGAGAACCATAGCTCAGAGTATTTTGAAGTTGATTTGCTTTTTTAAAAAACCCACTTATTTAAGCAAGGGAGTAAAATTTTCTAACTCATTTCCAGTTCTTTAGGACAGTAAGACATCCCTAGCGGTGACCGATGTTATACTTTAATAAGGTAACTTAATAGATAAATTGAATACCATCAAAACCGGCGATGTATGTATTAATGTAAAAATTTTAGGGAGGCTCGTATACAGTATCTTGACGTGAGAGAACAGTTATACTGAATTGTGTATGTCTATTTTGTACATATGTAGGTTTCTAAAAGTTCTTCCTGTGTTCCTCCTTGGTACATCCCTCTGGCCCTGCTCTCTCTGTGCCCTGACCTACCATATTGGATCAGGAGCATATCTGTGCTCTGTGTCAATTCCTAAGTGTTTTCTCTTGTCAAGTCTGATAGGATTGTTGTTGCTCCCCAGGGACATTTAATTCTAAGCCCAGTGCGATCTCTTTTGCTTGTCACTCGGGTTAGAATGAAAATTTTACGTGGGCAGAGGGTAGAGGGATGATGGCTATAGAAACCAGCCTTTGCAGAAACTTTCATTGAGATTAAGTTTTCAAGCAAACGACCTTTTTTTTAAGACATGGATTTAACAAGTAAATGAATGATTAATAATTGGTGTTATATATTACTTCTAGAGTGCTGGAAAGTATTCTGTATTCTGAGCGACGTCAGATGTTGAAAACCCAACTTATTGGCAAGATTTTGCCAAATCAAATTGTCATGGTAAAACACTGGACTTAGTGTACAGGAGCCCATGGAGCCTTTGCCTCCCCACCCCCCTGTCTGTGGAGAGGCAGGATGTGAGGAACACTGTGGGGCGGGGGGCTCCAGCCCTGAGCAGAGTCCTCCCTGTAGTTGCCGGAGCTGCTGGCGCCCCAGCAAGATAAATGGAAGCGCTGTAGCTAGAAGGCGCCTTGGTTGGAATGAGATGCAGTGAGGTCTCTCCCTTCTTCACAGGCATCATAGATCTGATAGTACTTACCAAAGAAGAATCGAGCTGGTGCCCTGCTGACTAAATTGTCCTCCAGAGGAGTATTAGTTACAGAGCTTCTTTGTTAACTAGGCTGAATGTTTAAACCACTGTTGAACTTCTTTTATTAACGTGTTGTAAGATAGCTATCCATATGGATGCCCTAAGTGTCTGCAGGGTGGGAATATTTCTCTATAATTTACATACAAAAGTTACATGTGTGTATAACAGTAATATAGAAATTATATCTTTTTATTGCTCTTCTGTTGCGCTGAGGTCTAGTCAGCACTGAAATTCTGATGACATGTGAACACAAAGAAAGCCACCGTTTTTATATTTTTCTCTTGATATTTCCTTGATCAGCTTGTTGAATAACGGAAATGCTTTTCATGCCTTTGCTGCTTGAGTGGAGCCCTCTGAGCGCCCATCCGGGTCACTTCCTCAACCATAACATGGCATTTTAAGGGAGGATGGAAGGAATTTATAGATCGTGTGGAGAATTTTAAAAATTTAAAAGTAACAGTTTGTTTTCTTAATGAAGAAAGATTTGCAAAGAAATTATTGAACTTCAAAATTGTCTTTTCTGTGTTTAATTCTATATGTAGTCTAATAGAAGATAATGGTTTTATATCTAGTTTTCAACCAATTTTTTTTCTCTAAAGAAGCATGAAAAGCCCATTTCCTCCCAGCTGATTATTGTCTGAGTGGCCCTTTGCTGGTCGGTAATGCACACTTGTTAGATACCAGAGAGTGTGTCTCCACATAGAGCCCCCACCCACCGTGGCGGGGTGGTGCAGTCCCGTCAGTGCCATCTGGGGGAAGCCCGAGCATTTCCCGATGTTCGGAGGGTCACCATGCCGTTCAGCTGGGCCCTGCATCACTCCAGTCCCCCAAAGGAGGCGGCCGCGGCAGTCGGCCGTGCCGGAACACTGCGCTCACTAACGCAGGCCCTGCGTCCTTTTCCTGTGAGGGACACTGCGTAGGTACTCTGGGCTTGCAGGCCGCAGGGTCTCTGTCACAGCTGCTGGGCACCCTTGTAGCCCGAAAGCAGCCACAGGCAGAGGAGTGGCTGTGGCTGTGTTCCAGTAAAAAGTTAGGGACGTTGAAATTTAAATTTCAGATATTTTTCATGTATCACAAAATATTACTTTTTTTTTTTTGAGTCATTTAAAAATGTTTGACTCGTGGGCAGAGCAAATACAGGTAGGGTCCGATTCTAGCCTGTAGGCCACAGCCTGCAACGTCCTGCCTTAAAGAGCCGTGCCCCAGTGTGTCCCCAGGCATGCGGACAGGAAGGGAATGCTGTGGGGGCAGGACTGCCCAGCAGGCGCCCCACGCCCACACCCGCCCCAGCTCTGAGGCCGTGCCCAGTGGAGCCGGCGGCCAGCCTTTGGGGGCGGGTGTCTGGGACCCCGCCTGTCCTCTTTCAGCACATCAGAGCGTGTGCGTGTGTCTACTTCGGTGAGCTTACGCTTTGTTTCCAGGAACTCAGAGAACTGCCTGGAGTGCTGAAGCGTGAATGCTCTCTACATTGTATGTAGCACGTTACACACCCGATAACCTTCCTCTGTTTCTACCGGCTTCACAAGCTGTGTTTTGTGGGAAAGTCTGAGTCCAGCTCTTCCAGTCATCCAGTTAAATTCAGCGACTTCCCAGCTGAACATGTGCAAAGTCACGCATGTCATGTGTTCTGAGTAGAAATTTTTTTTTTTCCTCTGAATTCTGAAGATACGATTCAGTTTGCCCCCTTTTTATTTTGAAGGTTTAATGATACTTTTTCTAGGGTGACATTTTCAGTCTACCCTGTTACTATTACATTTGTTATTCATAAGCACAGTTATGTGGCCTTGAGGATTGTGCTCCATTTTACCTGGAAAGATGTTATTCTTAGTGCAAGAAATTTTTGTTATTTCTAAAATCATTTTTTGTGAGATCTTCATCAGCTGCTTTTTAGAATGTATTTTTTAATCACTGGCAATTTTGATGTTAGGAAAAGAGAAGCTCATTATGTAACATGATTACGTCCTTTCCAGGAAACTAAGATTTTAGTCCTGCGTGTGCTTTGTGACAGTTTGGGCACCCTGTCACCAGCTCTGCGCTACCGGGCCCCTCCTGTACTTCCTGGTCCAGAATCATCCTCAAAGCCTAAGCACCTTCTTCCACTAATTTTCAAAGCCCTAGTTTTAGACGTTGGCATGGTCAGCAGGGAGGAAAATTAAACATTAATGAAATTGAAAGAGTGGAAAACAGGAGTTCGGGTTGAAGACGCTTTGTAGACAGTCGCGTTTCCGGTTCCGCGCTGCGCCGCGGAGCCCTGGGTTGTCGGACGGTTTCCTCGCGCATCGCAGCTCGGCCTCTGGCTCATTCCGCACCCGGCCATCGGCCTCCCCTGGATTTGCAGACCCAGAGGCGCGGGAGGCCAGTCCTAGCAGCAGGCCTGCCCCGACTTACTGAGCACCCCCTGGTGGTGGCACCGCGCTAGGCACAGGTGCCACAGCGGGGAGACCCAGTCTCCGAGCTCCTGTCATCGTGGAGCCTGCGGAGGACCTCTTCCCACCTTTCTCCCCCTCGTCCTCCGTCCATCGTCTTCCGCAGGTGTCGTCTGTCCTCAGCAGTGTGACCTTCAACAGTAACTCTGACTCTCTGAGCTTCAGTTTCTGTGATTATCAAATGGGGAATTTCATAATTGCCTTAGAGGGTGTTATGAACAATTTAGATAGCATTTAAATTGTTTGTTTGGCTTAAAATTGTTTTAAAAGTAAGGCATAACATTAGGATTCATTTCTATTAACATAACTCCCAAGGGATTTATTTTCACAATATCATATAAAAATACACGTATGCTGCCCTGGCTGTGTCTCTCGTTTGGAGCGTCCTCCTGTGCACTGAAAGGCTGCGGGTTCGATCCCTAGTTGGGATGCGTACAGGAGGCAACTGATTCTGTTTCTCTCTCACATCGACATTTCCCCCCCGCCCTCCCTCTTTCTATAAAATCAATAAGCATGTCCTTGGGTGAGGATTTTTTTAAAAATACACATATCCCTATTTTGTCATAATGGCATTTATGTAATTACTTTAAAATGTGATACTTTTTTACCACATGCTTTGGTTAAAATTTTGACTGCTATTACATTCAAATACCCTAATTTGAAATTCAGACAGTCCTCCAATGTTGACTTTTAAATGAAAAGATCCAAACCTGTAGTTGTCAGCTAGGGAAATGATCATTCGAGAGTCACGCCCTCCCTTCAGATGGTCAGCCACCACCTGGCTGCTATGTCCTGTGGCTCTTTGAATGGTTTGTTGGACAAGGGGCTGACAGCTTAAACTTGCAGGGGTGTCCAGCCTGTTGGCGTCTCTGGGCCACACTAGAAGGAGAGTTGTCTTGGGCCACACGTTAAATACATTGCAACATGTAATCACAAAAAAGTCTCATCATGTTTTAAGTAAAGTTACAATTTTGTGTTGGGCCGCATTCACAGCCACCATGGACTACACGTGGCCTGCGGGCCGCAGGTTGGATGCTGTTGGCTTTAACTAAAGCTATAGGATGGTTTTGTGGAGTATAACTTTATTCATTTTTTAGGGATAAATCAGATCTTACAGGTTCAACTTTAAGAGACCTCATTAAAGTTTTCTAATAACAAGTAGCCATGCCCTGAATTTTGGGTGTTATCTAGAAAAACTTCATTACTGAAAGGGATGTTGTTACAATTTTCAAATGGTTTTGATCATGGAGCAAATATGTGTTCCTCTGTAAATACATGCAATTTCTTTCTTCCTTCCCCAGGACCTGTCTGGCTCCATCGATGACCTCCCCACGGGAACAGAAGCCACCCTGAGCTCAGCGGTCAGTGCGTCTGGGTCCACAAGCAGCCAAGGGGATCAGAGCAACCCGGCTCAGTCGCCTTTCTCCCCACACGCGTCCCCTCATCTCTCCAGCATCCCTGGGGGCCCATCACCTTCTCCTGTGGGCTCCCCTGTAGGAAGCAACCAGTCACGGTCAGGCCCGATCTCTCCTGCAAGTATCCCAGGTATGCCCTCTCTAAATAATTACTGTTTTACTCTGAAGTAAAGACAGCACCAGTGTTCATCGATAGCAACACACATTCTCTTACTTTTTTGCTATTTAAAAATCTAGTGATGGGACCACATATTAGGAACATAACTTTGTGAATTATCTGTCACCCAAACACACGAGAGTTCCAATTCTGAAAGATATTCAACTAGTGAATATAAACACCCCATTAATAAAATCACCACTCACTCTGATACCTTCAGTTTGCACACTTGCCTAAACTTACACCACAAAATTATTTTCTCTTAGCATATATTTTGTGATGATTCTTTTAAATAAGATTTCTCTTGGTAAGTGCCACTAAGGTGAGATTGTTGACAAGTATTGGCCTTAGTTTTTATGGTTCTATTTAATTTATACCATGGCACTTACTTTCTAAAATATATTTAGTGTTTATACTTCCCAGTGTCCTAATTTGTTGGCACACGTTCAAGGCCTCGTTGCTGAAACAAACGTTACATTCTAATTTTGATATAAGAGGTTTACGTTCCAGTTAACTCTTGGGCTCAGCTGTTTCAGTGGACATGCTGCTTCTGTGTCTTCTGCTTCCTGTGGTGCCTACTTGGGATTGTCTGTTTGTTTGTATATTGTCAGTTGCCTGACCCCCACCCATCTTTCTTAGATTGAACTTCATCTCTTCAGACCCACCAAGCAACTAGCTTTCTTTTATCAGCAAACTAGGTGTCATTTTCCCCTCTGTGAATTTTGCTACCACGATACAGGCGGCCTGCCAGAGAGCGCGTCTTCTGGCCCTGTCAGAATCGATGCGGAATCACTGATAAATTTTCTGATAGTTTATTCTATTATCTTGGAAGTATAGATGGTCATTTTTACCCCTTGTTACCATTTCACACCTTTTTTTTTAATCTTATGAGGTGTTTCATGTATGTATGAGCATATGCACACACCTATGTAACATGATAATTATGAAGCGTAGCTGTCGGTGAATACTCGCGAGCCCCGTCCCGTCCAGCCTTAGGGTCGAGTGTGTCTGGCGGTGCCGCGTCTCCGCGTGTGTCCCTGTGTCATCTCCAACCTGTACGTCTCCCCACCTCAGACAGCCTCCAAATAGTTTTTACTCATTCTTTTTGGTTTGGAAGGGTTTTAGAAAATGTTATTACAAACTTTATTTATAGAGTATATATCGTTGGTTTTATTTAGTTTTGAGCTTTCTAGAATTGTGTCATATTTAGGATGGTTGTATAACTCCTCCAAGCTGAGGCACTTTTGAGCATGTGAGGGTTACTACTAATAATCACAGTGGGACAACGGGCAGAGACCAGGAGGGTTCTGGGCAGGTGAGGCCCGGTGTCCCAGTCATGCTCTAAGTGGTCTTCCACAATTACTTTTTTGACTAAATGTTACAGTTCTAAGAATCATCCGTATTGTGGATATAGCTATAATTTGAATACATTTTGATTAAAGTGTTTTGATGTTACCTTTCTTTCAAAATTATTTGTCCTCATGGTAATCATAATAAAACCTGGACTTGTTCTCTTTAAGCATTTTTAACGCTGTGACTGCTCTATATTTCAGAATTTCTTACGCAATTTTTGGTATTATGATGGTTTTTGAAGCATTACCTACCTAAACATTGGAAAGTTATACGTAAAATACTGTATTTATCAAAGAAGAACTCACTGTTCCTTTTTGAATCGGGTCAGAAGGACTTTCCCTATTGCCTAAATGAAAACTTTTCTAAGATAAAAGAATAGTGTAGTTTTTCATTCAAAATCCCTGACATGGGCAGTTCACAATCTGACAGTTGTTACCCATGTGGTTATCATGCCGGATGAGGAGTCTGAAACTCTCGTTTCACTGTTTGGATTTTGATGTGACTTAGAACACATAACCCAACATGAGAGCTCACTCTGGACACGAGCTATCACATAATACAGAGGAGGTGGCCCAGCAGATGGAATTGGTCTCGGAGTTCAGTGCTCAGTTGTGTCTTGTGCGGGGACAAGCAGGTCCGTGGACTGTGCTTCTGGTGGCCTGCTAGCGCCATCACACACGAGGCTGCTCCTTCTCCGTCACTGCGGGGCAGGGCCCACCCGAACTGATTCTCTCTGCTAACTTCTCAGGAAAGTGCGTTATTAAGAGAAAGCGTTCGGCTTTCTTGGAACTGTTTAAAGCATATAGCTTGCGTCAGAAACTTGTGTCAGAAAGGCTAACGGCCGAGGCCTGCTTGTCGGTTCACCTCCCCGAGCCCGGTCCTCCAGGCCTGTGTCTACAGGGCGCTTGAGAACACCGTCCAGTGCAGTTTCGTACCAGGAAGAAGTGACACAGCAGAAGCCTGCTTTTGGGGGGGACACGTGCTACTCAAGTCAGTCTTTATGGAGTATGAAGCCATATAGTAATAGAACCGTGTAAAACATGAGAAATACAATACTGGTTAATGTTAGTGTTACTTTAAGAGGAATAATCTCTAGAAAATCTCATGAGCAGTTTGGGCATTTGTTTACCTTCCTGCCAGGTGGAATTCCAGTGGCATTTGAACTGGATGGACTTTCATAATCACCTGATCCTACCTCCTCATTGTATTTTTATTTTATTTTTTTAATTATATTTTACTGGTTATGCCATCAGAGTTGTCCTGATTTTTCCGCCTTTGCTGCTTCTCTCCACCCAGCACCCCCCAATCCCTCAGGCAATCCCTCCACCATTGTTCATGCCCCTGGGTCACGCATATGTGTTCTTTGGCTACTCCATTTCCTATGCTGTACTTTACATCCCCACGGCTACTCTGTAACCACCTATTTATACTTCTTAATGCCCTTGCACCTTCGCCCATCCCTCTCCCATCAGGTAACCGTCCAAAGGTTCTCTGTATCTGTGATTCTGTTTCTGTTCTGCTTGTTTGTTGATATGCATTTTTTATCTTCTTAAAGAAGACCCTTTAACATTTCATGTAATAATAGTTTGCTGATGATGAACTCTCTTAGCTTTTTCTTGTCTGGGAAGCTTTTTATCTGTCCTTCAATTCTAATGATAACATTGCAGGGTTGAGTGATCTTGGTTGTCGGCCCTGGCTTGGTTGTCGGCCCTGATTCCATATCACTTTGAATATATCTTGCTAGTCCCTTCTAGCCTGCAAAGTTTCTTTTGAGAAATCAGCTGACAGTCTTATGGGGACTTCCTTGTAGGTAGCTAACTGCTTTTCTCCTATGATGTGCCTTAGGGTGGGCCTGTTTGGGTTCATCTTGTTTGGGACTCTCCATGCTTTCTGGGCTTATACATCTTTTTCCTTCACCAAGTTAGGGAAGCCTTCTGTCATTATTTTTTCAAATAGTTTTCTAATTTCTTCTCTCTCTTACCTGGTAAAAGCATGATGCAAATGTTGGCATGCTTGAAGTTGTCCAAAGGCTCCTTACTCTATCCTCATTTTTTTTTTTTTTAATTCTGTTTTCTTCTTGCTGTTCTGATTGGCTGGGGGGTTTTTTGCTCTCTTATATTCCAGATTGCTGATTTGATTCTCAGCTTTATCCACTCAACTGTTGGGTTGCTGTAAATTGTTCTTTATTTTAATTAGTGAATCCTTCATTTCTGACTCGTTCTTTTTTATGGTTTCCATTCCATTTTTTTTATGCTGTTGACATTCTGAATGAATTCACTGAACATCCTTAAAACTGGTGTTTTGAACTCTGTATCTAGTAGCTTGCTTGTCTCCATTTTGTTTAGTTCTTTTTCCGGAGTTTTGGCCCATGGTTCTTTGTCTCTTCATTTTGGCAGCCTCCCTGTGTGTGTTTATATGTATTAGGTAGAGCTGCTCTGTCTCCAACTTGGCAGAGTGGCCTAATGTAGAGGGTGTCCTCTAGGGTCCAGTGGCACAACCTCCCCTATCACCCAAGCTGGTACTCAAGGTGCGACCACCGTGTGGGCTATGTACACCCTCGTGTTGTAGTTGAGCCTTGATTGCTGTTGGCACATCCAAGCTCAGCCACCTCCCTGTTTTCTCTTTGGGGGTCACACAGTGTAAGCTACAGAGCCATCTGCAGATGGCTGCTACTTGTCCTGGGCTTGGAGGTTCCCAGGCAAGGCCAAACTGTGAACCAAAGCTGGGCCTGGGACAGTTTGGCAAGAGGTATGGGGTCACTGAAGCCAGACACTGCTCGTTTGAGATAATTCAGGAAAATCTGAAGTGTGAGCCAAGACAAGCCATTCATATGGAAAAGCCACTGGAAACAGCTTGTGTGGGCCCAAAAGTTGGGTGAAGCAGGGCCTCAGGGAGTTGCCAGGGTGGGGCAAACAGTGTGAGCCAGGTTGATGGAGACCTAGCTGTGATGCCTGTCTGCCAGCTCTGTGGCAGGAGGGCTCAGAAAAGAAGCAGTGGCCTCTGCCAGCACCTCTGTCTGGGAGAAAGCTACCCCGTACCCTACACCCACCCCAGTTCTCGCCCTTATGCCAGACAATTCAGTTCCTCCTCATATGTTTGTGATGCCTTTCAAATGCTGCCCCTGTGCAGGAGCTCAGAGGGAGTGAGTCAGTGTAAGTCTGTGCAAGGGCCCTTTAAGAGGCCCCACCATGGGGCCCAGCAGCTTCTGCCTTCCTCAGGCTCAGTACCCGCTGGTTTTGCAGCCCGAAGTTATGGAGACTTATCTTCCTTGCACTGGAACCCTGGGCTGCGGGGTCGGGTGTGGATCTGGGACCCTTCACTCCTTCAATATCCCTGCTGATTTTTTATCTGCCACAGGTGGGTGTGGGACCAGCCCATTCCAAGTCTCCACCCCTCCTACCAGTCATGGTGTCATTTTTTCTTTAATTCCATAGTTGGGGGGCCTCCATTCAGCTCGATTTCTCACAGTTCTGAATAATGGTTGTTTGTAGCTGAGTTGTAGTTTTGATGTGGTTGTGTGAGGAGGTGAGTCGTGTGTACCTGTGCTGCCACCTTGCCCACATCCTCATTTTATAGCCACTTACGAGCTGTCTGACCTCGGACAAATCAGTGAGCCTACG